TCAAGAAACAGAGGAATCGAGACAGCAGCTGGTTATTTCAGAATCTGCGGCCGCCAATGCACCGCTGCTGAGGTTGGTGCGTTCATTTCAACGGCCTTCGTCATCCAGGGGAATTCACAGACGCTTCAATTCCATGCGTTGACTTTTTTCTCTCTTTTTTGGTAATATGTTCCCCTCCTTTTGTTAGCTTATTAGCATGCATGGTTTCTTGGTACTTCTAATTTAGGTTGTTTTGTTTTAGAATTTATGATGCAGAATGTTATTTTTGTATAATTAATTTGTATTTTTGCAGAAACAATTTTGATGTCCTTAAGATCACAGCTAAATAAATAATAATATACAAATCCAACAGATAAATTAGTTCCAAATCATTAAATATCTAAAATGTCACCAAATCATGTGATGATGTTCGAATAAAAAAATTCCTGTTACCACTTTTCTGAAATAAGCAATTTAAAGTAGCATTTTATTATTTTGCCAAGACATTCATTCATTCTTCCTCAATTTTAAAATAAAAATTCCTCCCAACCTTTAATTGGAGAGGATTCTGCAAAAAATGCATGCCCTATATCCTAACCTCATTCAGTTCAATACAAAAAAAAGAACAAAAATATTATGTTGGCTGCTGTAAAATTACTCTCAACTTCGAACGTGTCAATTACGACAAACATGGCCAAAAAACATTATTCCGATCAAAAGCTTAACCCCCACCAAAACCTGCTGCTACTCCACTTGGACTTACAACCCGATCGTTTTCTCAAATTTCTGGATTTGGTTCAAGAAAATCCAGGTCATCTGCAACAACACAAATCCAACGGTAGCAAACGAATTAACCAATTTAACAATAAACCATCTTAAAAACATAACTATTAATAACACAAAATAAGGGAGAAAGGTACCATGACATGAGGGGCGATTCTAACACAGTAGACTGGAAATCCAGTGTAAAACTTGAACGGTCCACCAGCCTTGAATGTTTTCACGACACAATCGACCGAACCAGTGTAAGGATATTTCCCTTGAGCATCTGGCTGCATTTTCTGTATTTGCGTCTTCACATAATCAAACGGCAAACTACACGCTGCAGCAAAGAATCCCGACACAGTACTTGCCCCTGAAATTAGACACGAAAAAAGCTTCAAAATTTGCCCCCACCCAAAAAAAAATTAAAAAAAAAAATAACAATAATAAGAGGTCTCAAATCTTTACAGAGTGGATTATCACACACCTACGACAGTGGAAGCCTCGCCAAAACCAAGAGAGTCCCTACAGAACTCGACACTCTGGTCATAAGAAGCGAGCATGCCCATGTTAAGTGCCATAGCTCTGACCACAGTGGGGCCCGCACCTTTCCAGAGAGATAAAACCCCTTCATCAGCAACAATTCGAGAGAGCGCGTGAAATGCGTTTGTGTAGTGACGTCGTTGGGCGAGAGGCAAAGTAGCATCAGCCTGCATGCGAATTAGTGCTAAATCCGCAGGACTTCCCACAGATGCACCGATAGCTCCAGCTGTCAATCCACACAGAGCCTTCTGATAAAGTGGTAATGGCTTCCCATCGTTGGCCTCTATTGCTTTGTTTGTCAAAATCCTATCACAGGAGAGTTTTTCAAATTAAACAAAAGGGCTATATTTTTTACAGAATTGGCATTATAAATTATTCCACCATTTTTTTGATTGTGAAGTAAAGGGAGAGGCAGGGTAGCACTTTCTCACTTCAAGCCAACATAGGATACAAACAAAAGTTGAGAGATGACAAAATACGGA